GGTAACAGAATTGTTTGAGTTACTGGTGTTCACTGTTGCCAGGACTTTCTGTTTTTCCCAAAGCCACAAGATCAGCATCCACTCTGGGCCACCCGTCTGGCCTATCAGGTACTTGGAATCAGGGGAGAAAGCCATGCAGACAAACTCTTGAACAAATATGTCTCCTGCAGTCAGAACTTTTCTCTTTCTGCCCTGCTCATGTTGCAGGTCGAACACTGTGATGGTGGCCTTGTCACCACACTCTGACACTGCCAGATAACGCAGGTTGGCACTGATGGCCAGAGCACGCATGCCCTGGCTTTTTTCTGAGCCTGTAGAGACAACAGAAATGACATGACAAACAACTACTAAGGACTATGAGACTGTTCGTTATTTCCATAAATTATTTTTAAGCACTGGGGAGGACTAGGCTTAGGGGAGGGGCATACAAATTTAAATCGCTGTATTTATTTTCGATTTTTGTAGATTTTTGAAGGAAATATGTTCAGTAGGCATGTTTTCTTTAATAATGCCCCCCCAGGAACTGTAAAAACAGAAATTATAATTGAATTTTCACATTTCCAATGGTTCTTGGACACGTGCTACCAATGCTTCTGTCAGAAAAAAAACATGACCAAATCTGAGATTAAAATTGTAATATTTCATCAAAATTACTTTATACTGCATGTCATTTAAAATTTGGCCAAAAATAAACCATCTGCACAAACTAGTGAAAAACCGAGGCTTTTTTCAACTCATAGGATTTCCGCTTCAACTTTTAACTTTCAAATATCAAAAGGTAAGTTTGTAAAATAAAAACTAATTTATGGGTCATGCATTTGTAGCATCTGGGAGGGTCAAATAAAACACACACACACACACACACACACACACACACACACACACACAAACAAAATCAAACTAAGTCACACTTAAGCCATCCCCCTCCTCTGATAAGTAAAGAACAGTCCCTAATACCGCGTATAATAAACTCACTAACGGGAACAACATTGATCATAGCCTAAGAAATGGCTGTGAAAGTTTCAAAAGATATCCGACACTAACAATCCTTCAGCTTACCTGGAATGAACCTCTGACATCTTTGGACGGTGTTGTAGCACACACAACTGTTTCCGCTGGGGAAAACGACAGTTTGCTCATCGAAGAAACACAAATTGTTACTCACACCTGTCCGTAGACCGAAGATGAAATGTGGCTGAGCTAAAACAGTGGCCATTTTTTCAGCAGACTTAAAAAAAAATTAAGCAGCAAACAGAGTCTGACATTATAAAAATCTACATGGACTCTCCACACATAACGGCTACTTCCACTAACACACAATCATTTAATTTTGAAAGCCAGAAAGGAGCTCACGCGACTGAGTATCTCCACTGTGACATCTATGCTAGTGTGAGCAGAGCCTCTGTGTGATGAGTTCCGTCGCTAGGCAACCCAGGATATCCCGCGAGAACCTGAGAACTCGTTTAAAGTTCTCTTTCCACTCTTCGTCTCTCTATCCACCGTAGTAATACAAGCTTTGTATTTTTCCCTCTGTTTTTTTATATTTTTTCGGATATTCTACCATAAGTACCTGACAAACTTTTGTTTACTTTATCTGCTTTATGAATTCGCTTCTTTTTTTAATGACGCGTTGTCTTGCGAGATTCCCGGGGTTGCCAGGCGACGCAACTAATAGTATGAGTGATAATATTAATGAAGGGCTGAGCTTTGTCTAGTGGTGGAATGTAAAGTGGACCAATCAAGCACTATAGAGCTACTTATAATTACAGTTTTGATGTACTTAGCCGACTTTACTTGGGCATGATCACATCAAATCGATCAAATCGAATCAATTTTATGCCGAATATCAACTTGATCAAGAGGCCTAGAGCTTCAGTAGAGGCAGAGAAGTTCAGCAATGTACAGGGGTGTAAGCCCATGTAGGCTAAGGCTCTAAAAACAAAAGTACTTAAAAATCAGTCTCTATGGCACAGTGATGCAGTGGTTAACATTGTCCTCTGGTGCAGTGGTTAGCATTGCAAGAGGGTTCCATGGTTCAAACCCAGGGTGGGGGAGCCTTTCTCTCCCTGTGTCAGCATAGGTTTTTACTCCGGCTTCCTCCCACAATCCAAAGATGTGCAGGTTAGGTTAGGTTAACTGGTGACTCTAAATTGCCCATAGGTGAATGTGAATGTGAGTGCAAATGGTTGTCTGTCTCTATGTCTCATTCCTGCAATAGTCTGCTGACCTGCTGGGTAATATGTATGTTGATGTTGTCCAGAATCAGGTTTCTGTTTCATCATGAAACTAGACGATAGGCCTATGATTTATAGTAGCTAGTGTGCAAAGGGTGAAAAATCTCAAGCTGGGCTCATCTGCAAGCGGATATAACATAAAAGCGGCAGTAAGACACTCTGTTGGTTTAATATATAGTATACGCCTAAAATTCTGTGTGTGTGTGTGTGTGCATGCTTCATAACTAATGACTAGGATGCACTAGAGCCAGTCATAATAGCGTGCACTGGGGCCCAACGTAACTACCTTATTCCACTGTAGCCAGTGCATGGATGCTACCGGTGTAATGCTGTCTCTTTGGTACCAGTGAGAAGTCTTGTCTCTTGATGGATTTAGGATTTAATTAAAGGTATAATTGTGTGTCGTTAAAGGAGACATTGTGCTTGTGGAAGATGCAGCCCAGAGGGAGCATGTACGGAGCAAATAAATGGGCCCCAAGATAGAACGTTGAGGTACACTGCAAGTGACGGGCAGTAGAAGAGGCTGCCAATCAGAGAAAGACCTGTCAGATAAATAGGAGGCAAACCACTTGAGGGCAGAGCCCTGGATGCCAACCAGTTCTTTAAGATGACTGAATAAAAAATAATGATCAACAGTATAAAAAGCTGTGCTGAGGTCTAAACAAATTTAATAGAATTCAGACCTCAGTGTGGTTTTTGATACTTATATATCTAAAAGATATTATAGCCTGCTGCTGTTTTATACCTCTACACTGTATTTCAGAGGATATTATTGTGGCCTACTTTTTACTTCCCTACATTTATTTGAGAGTCAGAATTTTTATTTTACATAGAAAATAAGTGACTGCCTCACAGGAAGTCCTCATTTTGAACAGGGACTCAGAGTCCAATAGGTTTGTGCAGGTAGACTAGAAGTAAATGCAGCCAGCTGTTTTGGTATATAGATCAAGGTATTACCAGTAAATGCCAAAGACCAAGGAATAAAAGACAATCATATTTTGGTACTAAAACATACAGTACATCTGAAAATTCACTTTTATAACTTAAATTTAGGAGGTCTGTAAATGAGTGCAGTCCACTGGAGTTGACAATCTAGCAGTTCAAAGCTTGAATTCATCATTTATTCATCAGTGAATTTAATGACTGAAATGATCACTAAAACTACAGCTTACCCTCCAGCCTGCACAGTGGACTAAAAAAAGTTCAGATATTTGCAATAAGAAATTAAAGTTGGGTTAAAATAATATTTTAAACAAATGACTTGTTGGAGAGTGATCTAACATTTAAATGTCATCTTGTTTTCCATGATGAGTTGTTTCCTTATCCCTCGATGTGGATCAGGTGTTTTGAGTTAGCAGCAGTAGAAGTTAGACATTTCTTTTTCACAGGCATAAATAAAAAAAATCACAGCTATCCCGAGTGTGTATATCAAAGGCTTTAATGGTACGATTCAATAACAACGGTGATTGGTTTTGCATCTGAGGCTCTCATTTCAAGACAACAATTACAAGGCAACCGATCCATCTAATGTGAAAACATTTAAAATGTTTGAATGAGTAATGCTGCATCACACAAAGAGACAGGTGTCAGACACTGCTTTTAATAATTCAATAGAATAGTTGCAGTGGTGTGGGCCATATATTGTTTTGTGTTGTTTGTATGAATAGAACTTGTTGTACATGAGTGTCTTTGTGGTGCAAATGCATCTGCAGAATGCTCTGGAGGCATGGATAATGCTTGTGCTGAGGTAACAAATTTCCCCCTTGGAGACAATTAAGTGATATTGTGATATGGTCGTTGTGTGCCACCTTCTTGAGTCAGACACACACAGCAGCCTCTCAAATAAAAAATAAAAAATGACATTGTAATTATTTGACAAATATTAGCACATTAATGCAGCCTATTTAGAGTTTCTAAATACTAGTGATGCCTGTGTGTTTAAGGCTTACAAAGACCAAAACTAATGATGCATTTGGAAAACCGTTGTCCCCTCCGATGCTAAAAATGTTCAACCTTACCACAAGGAAGTTGCCTTTAAAAGGGAGACAAACTAGTAAATACCAGTGGGACTTCGGACAAGTCCCATGATATCAAGATTTATAGTACAAGGTAAACATTCAACCATAACACATCATGAGCAACAAGTGTAGCAGGTTAATGGCCAGGATACTGTATCCATAACATCTATAAAAAACTACATCTGCTTGCTGATGAAGAACGTGTGATATAGTCACAAACTTTGGAACAAGCAAGTGGGAAACAAGTTGAAGCCAGACTGTCAGTATGTTTTTTTCAGCTTTAAAGTTTCCAGCTTTTTCATTGGTCCAATTCATGTCATGATATCGCTCATAGATGAGTACCAGAATACAAACACCTGGTAGATACCAAATGGCTGATCTATTCCAACATTATTGACATTAATGACTGAACCACATGAATGCATCATTAGGCCCTGATCACACAGAAAAGGCACTGCACTGCCTTTTGTTTTTAAACTGAATGCCACTGGCAAAAAAAAGCTTGCTGTGCCTTTTCACTGTTGCTAGGCAACCACCTCATCACCTCTTTACTCTAACCTTTCTGTGTAATCAATCTACCATTTTATTTTATTTATTTCACAGTAGTTTGTTTCTAGTTAATAAAATGGACAGGCAGAGGGTACTTGCTGTAGCTCTGGTTGAAGGTGAGAGGCTGTCAGCTAATAGTTTGTTGGGCACAGGGAAACTGAGATCTGTGTGGGTACATGAGACCCTAAAAAAGAGGGTGGATCACGGGGAGTACCACCAGTTTGTCCAGGAGCTTCGCCTCCACGATGGCTGTTTCCAGGCATATTTTAGGATGAATCAGGGGCAGTCTGACATCCTGTAAACTTCTTGTTGTGACCATCACAGAAGGCCAGCCCCTAAAATCATCTGATTGGACAATGGGAAAAAAGCGGAGATGATGTGGGCTGCTTTTCGGCTCAGTTTTTCAACTCAAGGAGTTCAGAGTGCTCTGACAAAAACACCAGGTGCCCAGAGTGCAAAAAAGCAAGGCATGTAGCAGTGCATAAACAGTGAGTAAAAAGCTTCATTCTCATTAAGAACAATTACAAAAAGCCACCTCCACCTGCTAAAACGCTTTCTGTGTGATTGGGGCCTACACATCAATTAGGCATCTTGAGGGTCCCAAAGTACACAGCCATGTGGTTATGTGGGTTCAATGTAGGCTTCATTTCTCTGTACACTTTGCAGAGGACTTTGTAATCACACAGGCTTGTCAAGTTATTACGATACATTTATCTTGATATGCAGACTTAGATAAATTAAGTTTCCTTTAAATTCTATCAGGGATTTTGTTGACCAGTGGAGGTCCATACAATTCACAGACTGTGAAATACACTTTAAAGTTTAGCTTATTACAACATTTTCACATTCAGAGCTCTGTTGTTGAAAAACAAAATCCATATTGGACGATGAAAGAGTATGTGCAATAAAATATCTTGAAACATATGTATTTGCATGAATTTCCTTTAAATGTAACAAAGCCCTTAGCTATACTAATGAACAGCTAGTATCTCTTATATATAATAGGATGTGAGGAGTATATAAGCTACATTATAATACACTATACACATCAATTGGCTTGTTTTGTGAGCATCGTCAAGCTTTCAGTGTTCTCTAGAAAGTCTGTTGGCACATGAATGGCCCAGCAGGAGGCAATCTTGATTAGCAGGAGATGATGAGGGCATTCAGAGACTGTTGACTCTGTGTTTGCTCCAAAGGTCCACTGCCAGACAGAATCTCATAGGCAGCCAGTTCATGATAGAGAGCGTTGAGCACCTCCAGAATGTGTGCTTTCCCTGTGCGAAAACAGAACAGATGTGACCACCTGAGGGAATTACCTGGTGAGAATTTGATTTAATTCCCTGACCTGAGTAAATGTAAATTTTCATCATTACATTTCACAGGACTTGTATTGATTTTATTGGACGTGTGAGCTCTACTAACCATGTTGTGGGTCGCTGCAAGACCCCAAAGTGCTGAGCAGGATTTTCCCAAGGGACCTCCGAGAGACGTTCTGAAACAGGAGAGGGCTGTTCTCAGATGACTATCAGGTGGTTAACAGACACTTTAACAGGCAGTCTGAGGCTTGTAACCACTGAGGTTCTCACACATGTTCAACAACTGAAATGCTCTACAGATCTATAATCAGTCCCAGTGTTAGGGTTAGATCACAAAAGAATGGCCCAATCCCAATTCCTGTCTTAACCCTCAATCTTAACCCTCAGTCTCAAAAATCCGCGCTCCCGCGAAGTGCTAGTGCTGTCCCGATTCTCAGAGTGTTGAGTTGAGGGTCAAGAATATGGGCTGTATGGCCCTCACTTTTAAGATTTTTCAGGACCACCCTTGGTAGTGAGTGCTATCCCAGAATCCTTTGCGCATCATCCGCCGAGCCCAGCCGAGCCCGGCCGAGTACAGACGATTCAGTCAATGCAAGATGGCGGCGACAAGCATAAGGAAGCGGAGTCATCAATGTGAGTATTTTCCTCGTTAATAGTTGTTTTAAAATTATGATAACTATTGCATTATCTTAGTTTAACATCATTTTATGGACTATAGACCTCTTTGTAGCGTAACACACATATTCTTTTGGCTAGCTAACGAAGCCGGTGTTTCGGATTTACTCGCGACCCTGTTAACTGGCGACCTTCAGCCGAATGCGTCTGTGGTTGTCGTAGTGACAACAGCTGTTTTCAACCAGGAAGAGAACACGTAGCTGTCCTCGCGAAGGCCTCTTTATTCAGTTTTTTATAACAACATCAAAACATAGCCGACCTGACCCGTCTTTGGACTCTTGTTGGAGGAACCCAGTAACGGACCGACACTCAGTCGCGGTTTGAATCACACTTGTTATGACGGAATGTTGAAAACAGGAAGAGGCCAAGTTGCTTTTCCTGTAAATCTGACTCCTATCTCGAATAAATTTTCTAAATAGGCCTACACAGTTTCGTCTCTGGTGCCTGCCTAAATAAACATGAGCCATATTAAAGAACCGTTCAGCCCTGTGAAACGTAAAAAAGAATATTTTCTCGAGATTCGCACCCGCTTCATTATGGGAAAATAAATTAAAAGCACGCAGTTAACGTGGTGCGCCACTATGACAACACCACTTCACTGACAGATCCAATAAAAATCCGACAACATACAGCCAGCTATGTCTTCAAATTGGGAGGTAGCCAGATCAACTTGTCACCACACTGTCCATGCACTGAGGAACATTTTACAATCTCACTGCTTTCCAATACAAAAACCAGCGGTTTTAAATCCACTTAATTCATAAACCTAACGTTTATTGTTGTGCTACAGGTCGATAAAGCCAATATTCATATTCTCACGTGGAAATACTTTATTTTAAATTAAGCAATAAAGCAGCAGCTGTATAATAGATTTATCTCTAAGATAAATTATCTATTTATGTTGTAGCATTAAGGCGATTAAAAGCGTACAAATATGACAAACACTAGGCTGTAGGCTATGTGGTATGAAAGTCCATTAACTCCTGCAAAGCGTTTTAGAGTACCGAGGGGGAGTTAGTTTGACGTTGGATATTCGGATATTCATTTTGGGTTCAACAGTGATTTCCACCTCCCTCTCATAGGCAGAAAATAGTGAGCAACAAAGAGAATGGCTAATACCCCCATACCCCCCTTACTGGACCCAGACACCCCACACCAATGTAGAATGGTTTTGCCAAGTGGGCCTAATAAGGCACACCTCTTTATAAATGTGTTTCATGCTCTATTTTATCTATTATCCAACGGCAAACTAACTTCACCAGGAGTCACATGCAGTGCACCCTTAGAATCACTTGGTCTTGCCATGATCTGAGAAATCTGAGAAAGTCCCTATTTGCGTAGAATATGAACTTGACACTTTCACTTAGTTCCGATGTCATGTTTCCTACCAGCACAATGCTACTGAGTAAACAATGATCTGCTGGAAACTACAAGCACAGCCACATGAATAAAAGGTGAACATTGAATGCAAGTTTAGTTACATGAATGACAGCCAGATGAGTACATCAAATCTGCTTGTGCGTCATCTCAAGGAAATATGACCTTTTGGCTAAAGGGGTTGTGGTTATGTTGCAGGATCTTACTTGTTTCTTCACTGTACACGTTTGGTATACCATATAGCCTACCATGTGTGTTTTTTCTGAACCACCCTCAAATGTATTTATTGTTATTTCTAGGTTTACATAAAAGATGTGATTTTCAGTGTTGCCTATGAAGGCTACAACATGACGTTATCTTGTGTTACGTTTATGAAGTAGGCCTAACTGGATTTATACAGCTGCTGCTTTATTGCTTAATTTAAAATAAAGTATTTCCACGTGAGAATATGAATATTGGCTTTATCGACCTGTAGCACAACAATAAACGTTAGGTTTATGAATTAAGTGGATTTAAAACCGCTGGTTTTTGTATTGGAAAGCAGTGAGATTGTAAAATGTTCCTCAGTGCATGGACAGTGTGGTGACAAGTTGATCTGGCTACCTCCCAATTTGAAGACATAGCTGGCTGTATGTTGTCGGATTTTTATTGGATCTGTCAGTGAAGTGGTGTTGTCATAGTGGCGCACCACGTTAACTGCGTGCTTTTAATTTATTTTCCCATAATGAAGCGGGTTCGAATCCCAAGAAAATATTCCTTTTTACGTTTCACAGGGCTGAACGGTTCTTTAATATGGCACATGTTTATTTAGGCAGGCACCAGAGATGAAACTGTGTAGGCCTATTTAGAAAATTTATTCGAGATAGGAGTCAGATTTACAGGAAAAGCAACTTGGCCTCTTCCTGTTTTCAACATTCCGTCATAACAAGTGTGATTCAAACCGCGACTGAGTGTCGGTCCGTTACTGGGTTCCTCCAACAAGAGTCCAAAGACGGATCAGGTCGGCTATGTTTTGATGTTGTTATGAAAAACTGAATAAAGAGGCCTTTGCGAGGACAGCTACGTGTTCTCTTCCTGGTTGAAAACAGCTGTTGTCACTACGACAACCACAGACGCATTCGGCTGAAGGTCGCCAGTTAACAGGGTCGCGAGTAAATCCGAAACACCGGCGCGTAACCCCGGTTCGCTGATAACCGAGTATGCTGTCATTCAGTTACAAAAAGTCATTTTTCTCAGCGATAATGTTGTTGTTAAGTTGTTTTAATATACGTGAAATGTTTACATTGACATTTTTGTAAGATGACCGGACGATGTCATCTCCTGTAGCCGTAGAGTCTGCAGCTGGTAACATTACAGCTGCAGGTTAACGTTAGTGATCGTATTATCTGGTGACTTTCCGCTGAATAAGTTATGTCAGTTGTTGTGGTACAGGTTATTTGGTTGAATATCAACTTATAACCCAAAGAGTGAAACGTTAACATGGATGAAAGTCACAAGATAACACTTGTGTGACAGTGTAAACAGCCTCACCAGTTCTGCTGGATGTTGACTACAGTATTCATTGTGATAATACTTGCAATATTGCATGAAACTAAACTAATAACTTAACGAATATCTGACAGGTAGGCCAGAAAAATAATAAAAGAAAGTAATGTTGTTATCTCTGTTCCATTTCAGGGCCACCAGACAAAACACAAGCCCTGATTCATTCCAGGGCCACCAATGAAGACAAGTTTACAAAAAACAAGCAGGCTCCAAAAAAACTATGGGAGTGAGTAATTTGTAACTTGTGAACTGTTCATATTCATAACATAATTCTCGGTCACAATGGCAACTGTTCCCCTATTGATCAAGCATTCTGTTTCAATATGAAATCAGCACAGCTGCAGATGGCGTTGTCGAAGATTATTGTTTGGTAACTGCACATTTGTTTTGCTGCCCCTATACTGTCACTTTTTGGAAAGATTTTTTCGAGTATATGTAACATTTATGTTCTATTTTCACTACTGTATAAAGATGTGCTGTTTGGATTTTATGATGTCAGCATTTCAAAACAAAAACAATTCTATATTATTAATCTGTTTATTATCTTAGCGAAATTCCATATTCATAAGAGTAAATTTTGTAAAATTCAGCACTCCACAAACTCCAAAGCTATAAAGACTCTGAAAATATGTAAACAATTTAATGGTTTGAGCTGCTGAACTTTTTTATTTATTTGTTTGTTTATTTTATTTCTCTTTATTTTCTCTTAACCCTGGCATATTTGTTCTGTTCATGTCTGTCACTGCTTGTTTTGTACAAGAACTGAAATAAAGTGTTGGGGAAAAAAAATTGTCGCATCTTTTTATTGAAAACTACTGATGATGTATATTTCTTCTTCTTTGAATTGACAGACTAGACAGTTTTGGCCCCCCCCACTCTTATTTGCCTTTGAGGGGTGTCCCATTTTAAAGTCACAAGATAGCCCTTAACACTTGGTTTTGAGGGCTAGTGAGATTGAGGGTTGAGTTTGAGAATTAAGATTGAGGGTTAAGATAGGAATTGGGATTGGGCCACAAAAAACATGTAGTTCTTAGGACTGGTAGGACTTCTGTTGGCTGATTGACAGGTCAAAGCAGACTTTTAATTCTGAGTACGTTAATGTCTACATGGAGGATTGTCCTTGAAAATTACTTGTGAATACTTTGAATTTACTCTTCTCTCTGATGTCTGATCAGAATAATCATTCCAGTACAGCATGGGTGGATTCCTCTCAACTTCCAGCCACACAAAATCAATTTCATTACTTTGACTTTCAATGAATAGTTTTGGTCCACATGATGGTCCTGCTGCTGTTTACAGGATTTTTCCACTAAGCTAGAAATCAAAACAATATGCTTGGGTCTTAAAAAGGTAAAAAACATGTTGAATATTATCACAAAACCTTGTTTATAAGCAGCTTTGACCACAAAATATTGGTGTTGATCTCTTCAGACTCAATAGTGTGGGTACCCCAACTAAAACTGTGACTAACCAGGTCTCTGAGCTGCTGGAGGAGCTGCAGGATGTCCACAAGTTTCTCCTCCACCAGCGACAGGCGAACCCTTTCTGTCTCCAGCATCTGCAGCTCCATCTGAAGCAGCTCAGTCTCCACTGCCTTCTGCTGCAGCTCCTGCACCAGAGAGTCCTTCATCTGGAAGACACAACACACACCAGTCACACTACAGGACAGAAACCTTCTGTTTGTCTTAGGGTCAGGTCTCACCATTGTTTTCATATTATGCTAGCCTGGAAATCCAGACTCAAATCTAGAAAGATTTTGAGTCTGGCCCTCACTGATACACCCTTCCTACCCAAGGGGCGGCACTAACTGAGGCACGCAGTTGGATAGCGCAATGGCCAATCAGAGCAAAAAACAAGGTGACGTATTCTTTGCCCCATTTGTTTGCCTAACACTGGGGCTAACTGATATATTATGCTTTTGCCGTATCCCTTCGGCAAAACAGCAAAAACGTCCTTCCTGGAAACGAAGGCTTCCAGGGCAGTCTTCTGTTCCTCTCTCAAGGAAAAAGATAAGTGTAGTTGGCTTAGCGTTTCTTCCAAAGCTAAACTGAATGGACGCAGTCCTTCGGCAGCTGCCATCTTGGCTGTTTACTTTTCGACTCCTACGGCGCAGCGTTGTCCTCATCATGTTACGCCTGCCCAGAGCCCGCCTCTGTCAGATAGACTGATCTGATTAGTCCGATAGGCGATTCAGCGGGCTCTGCTCATCGGGGCCAGATTCCTGTGCAGTGCAAATTAGAATTTGCCAGGGGCGGGGCATCTGGATTTCCAGGTTAGACATCTGTGCCGCAGTATTCTTGAAATTTTGCGTCTATCACATCTATCACAAGAATGAGATAGATGAGGTCATGCAGACTTGACCTTTGACATATGACCACCAAAATCTAATCAGTTCATCATTGAGTCCAAGTGACTATTTGTGCTATCTTTAAAGAAATTCCCTCAAGCTGTTCTTGAGATATCGTGTTGACGAGAATGAGACACATGCAAGGTCCCAATGACTTTGACCTTTGACTACTGAAATCCAATCAGTTCATTGCTGAGTCCAAGTGGACATCTGTGCCAAATCTGAAAGACTTCCATCATGGTATTCTTGAAATTTCATGTTAACAAGAATGAGATAGATGAGGTTACATAGACTTGACCTTTGACATATGACCACCAAAATCTAATCAGTTCATTACTGAGTCCAAGTGAAAGTTTGTGCTACGTTTAAGGAAATTCCCTCAAGCTATTTTTGAGATATCACGTTCACGAGAATGATAAGATAAGATAAATGTTACTGTCCCAAGCAGGAAATTTGCTTTGGGCACACAGTGTGACATAGCTGCACAGCAGTTACAACCAACATATACTAACAAGACATACAGTAGACAACCATGTATTATGCACGGTGCAGATTTGAATAGCATAATAGTGCAATTAGGACTACTGGATGAAATAAATACATCAACTTTATCATAACAGGTAAGGCTAAAAGAATAAAAGCTCCTTAAGGTTGCACTAGCCCAGGAGGTAATCATAAAAAGTGCAATAAAAAACCTGTAGTATAAATAGTGCAAATAAAATACAGTAGTGCAAATTAAACTGTCACAAATAAAAGGCGAGTGGCTGAGGAAGGGGGCGGAGTGAAGATTGTCCCTCGCTGCGGGGGAGAGGAGAGAGGGCTTCCCTGGAGGTCGGCCTCTTTACCCGGTCCCTCTCCTCCACACTTAGACTTATTTTCATTGTGCCGATGGTGGCTTGGAAAACCCCCCCTAACTGTGTCACACGGGCAGAAGGGAAGGCAGCAGGAGCTCAGCCGGTCCCCTTCTCCACACTTTGACTTATTACTTGGTTCTATTTCTCCCTCTCTGGGAGCCTGGGCTCACCGCGCAGCAGCCCACCGCATCCATCCATCCACCCCTCCCTCCCTCGCGGCCCCGCATATATATGCCCCCGAGGCTCGGCTCTCTCTCACTGCGCAGCGGCCCTCCACGTCCCTCCCTCGCCGCCCCGCACATATACTCCCGAGCCTCGGCGCCTTTCCTTGACCAACTAACCTAAATACTATAAACACACTACTAACTGTAAACCTACACTAAGCTAACAATACAATTCGACAAACTACTAGCTATTCTCTCTGCTCTACTACTCTCTCTGCTCTGATCCAACCTACTCGCTATCAGTTTGATAATTGCGGACAGAATGATTTTATAGTAAGGGGAGGAGGAGTAAAGGGAGGAGGGCAGGCTTTAGCGTGGACGGTTAGTGACATCATTCGCCCCGAAAAAGAATCATTCACCTCCAATGTAATGTAATGTAAATTCAAATGTAGTACCCAGGTTTCAAGCTGTAGAGGGCACTCCATAGCACATTTTTAAAATAAAATGTAGATTTTCAACAGTTTGCACTAAACTGTCAAGATTTTGAGCAGGATCAGTCAGTAACACTACTATACAACCAGAAACAATGATTATCAGCTGGAAAAAATGGTTTTAGGGTTTATTCTTTAACTGTCCTGTCCATTAAAGGCAAAAAATACAAAAAAAAAAGAAAGAAAGAAAATAATGTGGGTTGCACAGGGTAGTGGCCACAGTAAAATCAGACTATCAGTGTTTAAATAGGTTACTTTGTAAATCTTTACAATCTTGCAATCTTTGTAACAAGCTTCTGCCACTGTTGCCGAAATTTTGCGGAAAAAATCTGCTTTACGGCAGGAAACGCGTCACGTATTGCGAAACTGGTCGGTCAGCCAATCAGGGACTGGAGCTGGTCCTTATGAGCATAGACATATGTACATAGACGCCGCATCGACTGCCTGAGCGCGTCCTCGCCGGCCGCCATCTTGGATGGGTCTCGCTTCGCCTCCACAGTGCATTCACTTCTATTGAGGAAGGAGCTGTATGCACAAGTAAAATAGAATAACTCGCTGAATTTTCAACTGATTTTCACGCGGTTTGGTTTGTTACAAACGGCACACATATAGTTATGATACAGGATGCTTTCGTACATTAAAAATGCGGGATTTCATGCTTTAATACTTTCTGCAGATAGCAACAGCATGTTATTTAGGTCACAACACAGTTATTTTATTCACCTCAACCC